CAGACAGATAGAGAAGAGTGATGAGTGAGAAAGAGAAAGAGAAGAGAGATAGAGACAAAGAGACAGGATTGGGGGTTTTTGGTAACCCGAACGGGAATGGAAAAAAAATGGCAGGTCGAGTGGGGGAGATTGGGGGTTACCAAAAATCAGGAACTAATTTTTTGTGGTAGAGGATAGGGAACGGCAGTAGCGGTGAAGGTGGTGGATAAGAGGTAATAGTGGTGGTGGTGGTGGTGATATCGAATGAGATTAGTGGTGAAGTTGTGGTAGTGGTAGAGAAGATAGAGTAGCAGTGGTGGATGAGAGGTAATTGTAGTAGTAATGGTGGTAGTGGAGTGGTGGTGATGGTAGTAGTAATAATAGTCGTAGAGGCGGGATGACAACAGTGGTAGTAATTGTGGTAGTGGAATACCATTTGCAGTAGTGGTGAAGGTGGTAGAGGAGATGGGTGGTGAGAGAGAAATGAGTAAGAGATAGATAGAGAAGAGAGATAGAGACAGAGTGATGAGCGATAGAAAGACAAAGTGGTCACAAAAAGTGAATTTTCTTGTAGTGTCTCGATAAATCAAAAGATAGCTTGGTAAATAGAGAAGAATGGAAAGGGGAGTAAGCAAGGCGAACACAATGAATGGGAGACAAATAGACAGACAGATAGAGAGAGAAAAAAAAGAGAAAATAGTAAAATTGTGAAAAAAAGTGAGAGACAGAGAGAGAAAGAGAGACAGACAGACAGACAGACAGAAAAAGAGAGAGAAACAAGAGATAAGCGAGAGATAGACAAAAAGAGAGAGAGAAAGAGAACAAAAAGAGATGAACGAGAGAAAGACATAGAGAGAGAAGAAAAATGAGCGAGAGAGAGAGATATATAGAAATGATCGAGAGAGACATAGAGAGAAAAGAGATGAGAGAGATAGAGAGAAGAGAGAAGACAGATGAGCGAGAGAGAGATAAAGAGAATAAAGATAAGTGAGAGAGGCAGAGAGAGAAGACAAATGAGAGAGATAGAGAGAAGAGAGATGAACAAGAGACAGAGACAGACAGACAGAGAAGAGTGATGAGTTAGAGAGAGAAAGAGAAAAGAGAGAGACAAAGAGAGAAAAAGATAGAGAGTGAGAGACAGAAAAAGAGACAGAGAGAGAATAGAGATAAACGAGAGAAATAGAGAGAAGAGTGGATGAACGAAAGAGACAGAGAGAAAAGATAGATGAGAGAGAGACACACAGAGAGAAAGAGAGACAGATAGACAAACAGACAGACAGACAGAAAAGAGTAATGAGTGAAAGAGAGAAAGAGAAGAGAAAGAGGAATATGAAAAATGGGTGAAAAGAGACAGAGAGGGGGGTAAGAAGAGATTAGGGATTTTTGGTTTTGGCCGGGATGGTTTGAGATTGAGGATTTTTTGTTTGGGTTAGGGGGGTTACAGAACGGGAATGACAAAAAAAATGGGGGAAATGAAAAAAAAAAGGGGGAAACACAGCGGGAATGAAAAAAAAAAATTCGGTCACAAATGAAATTTAAACAACAAAACGTGGTTTAACCTTCTTTTTTTTTTTTTTTGCGTTTTTTTTTTTTTTTTTTTTTGGCGACGGGGGTTGCCGTAGCCAAAAAAATTATTTTTTGTTAAAATAAATTTTTTTTTGTAGTTAATGAATTTTTTTTGAAAAAAAATCATTTTTTTTAGTTATAGATTGAAAATTTATTTGTTTTATTTCTATTTTAATGAAAAAAAAATTGTTATTATTATTTTTTTTATCAAAAAGTCACATTTTTCACGACGGCAAGTTGTACCGTCTCAAAAAGTCTTTTTTTTTTTTTTTTTGCGACGGCAAACTGTGCCGTCTCAAAAAGGCACATTTTTTGCCACGACAAGTTGTGTCGTCTTAAAAAGTCATATTTTTTTGTGACGGCAAATTGTGCCGTCTCAAAAGGTCATATTTTTCGTGACGGCAAGTTGTACCGTCTTAAAAGGTCGCATTTTTTTTGCGACGGCAAGTTATGCCGTCACAAAAAATGACTTTTTGCGACGGCAAATATGCCATCACAAAAAGTTCCGTCTCATAAGCCCACTTTTCTTGTAGTGTATAATCACACTTAATTAAAAAAATAAATATATATATAATCACATTTAATCAAAAAGTGTGGTTAAAAAATATATATATATATATAATCACACATAATTAAGTTGTACCGTCTCAAAAGGTCGCATTTTTTTGCGACGGCAAGTTATGCCGTCACAAAAAGTTCCGTCTCATAAGCCCACTTTTCTTGTAGTGTATAATCACACTTAATTAAAAAAATAAATATATATATATATATAATCACACTTAATTAAAAAGTGACATAAAAAATAAATATGATCACTCTCAATTAAATTAAGTATAATTAAAATATCAATCTAATTTTTTTATCACACTTCTAATAAAAGTGAGATATTTTCATTTATCAAAGTGTGATCTTTAACTGTTTTTGTAGTAATGATATAATCACACTTTAATTAGAAGGTGTGATTAAAAAATATATAAATAATCACACTTTAATTAGAATGTGTGATTAAAAAATATATATATAATTACACTTGCTTAAAAAGTGTGATTAAAAAGTAGTAGTGTATATATAATCACACTTTAATTAACAAGGTGTGATTAAAATATATATAAATAATCACACTTTAGTTAGAATGTGTGATTAAAAAATATATATATAATTGCACTTACTTAAAAAGTGTGATTAAAAAGTAGTAGTGTATACATAATCACACTTTAATTAAAAAGGTGTGATTAAAAAATATATAAATAATCACACTTTAGTTAGGATGTGTGATTAAAAAATATAAATATAATCACAATTACTTAAAAAGTGTGATTAAAAAGTAATAGTGTAATCACACTTTAATTAAAAAGGTGTGATTAAAAAATATATAAATAATCACACTTTAATTAGAATGTGTGATTAAAAAATATATATATAATCACACTTGTTTAAAAAATGTGATTAAAAAGTAGTAGTGTATATATAATCACACTTTAATTAAAAAGGTGTGATTAAAAAATATAAAATAATCACACTTTAATTAGAATGTGTGATTAATATATATATATAATTAGAAGGTGTGATTAAAAAATATATAAATAATCACACTTTAATTAGAATGTGTGATTAAAAAATATATATAATCACACTTACTTAAAAAGTGTGATTAAAAAGTAGTAGTGTATATATAATCACACTTTAATTAGAAGGTGTGATTAAAAAAATATATATATAATCACACTTAATTGAAAAGTGATATAAAAAATAAATATTATCACACTCAATCAAATTAAGTGTGATTAAAATATCAATCTAATTTTTTTATCACACTTCCAATAAAAGTGAGATCTTTTTTTTTTTGTCAAAGTGTGATCTTTAACTATTTTTGTAGTAGTGTACGATTTGGACCCTAGCCAATGGGGGTTATTTATTGGTACAAAACTAGTTTTTTTTTTTTTTACTTTACCACCGGCCTATGTGTGGTTCTGGGCCTTGTCACGGGCTAAGTGACCGTAGTCACCAAGATTTGGATTTTGTAAATCGCATCATTGAACCATCTGAATATTAAACCATCGATTTGGACAACGAAATTTCTTCGAATTATCTCATTGTCTTTTCAATTTGAATGTATTGCTACATTGTTTATTTTCAACTATGAAACCATCTTACAAAATAATTATTTATTTATTAAATTGTAGCAAAAATATATTTATTGGTTATCGACTATGTTTTTTTTTTTTGTATACTTGATCCAGCTAGTAGTGATGGTTGGTTATTTACTGGGCTGTCTAGCTTACCCTTATTTGATTTTTTTTTTTTTCAGATTCTGAGGAGTAGAGCTGAGCGGAGTTTTTACTTGTGGGAGTGCCGAGAGTAGGACTATGATTTAAATACTTGGATTATTTTTTTGTTAGTGGATTAAATTACTGGACTTGGTAGACAATTTCATATAAGAATTATTTATTTTTATGGATTTTGGCATTATGATAATTAAAGATTTAATTTGAGTATTTTACATTATTGATTTATGTGATTGGACTCTTAGCCTTGTATACTCACTTAAATGAGTGTGCGGCGTTGTCACGGAGCTTGGGGTGTGACAATTTTGTGGTATCAGAGCCAGGTTGTAATTTTAAAGGCTGGTATAGAATAATGGTGAGATTGGATAGATGTAGGGTTGGGAACGCTTATAATTTGGTATAATGTTAATTTTATTTACATGTTATAGGGACTTGAGAATAGAATAAGATGAGGTTTTATTATTGATGCATATAGGTTGCAATGGAACATGATGACTATGATTTAAATACTTGAATTATTTTTTTGTTAGTGGATTAAATTACTGGACTTGGCAGACAATTTCATATAAGAATTATTTATTTTTATGGATTTTGGCATTATGATAATTAAAGATTTAATTTGAGTATTTTACATTATTGATTTATGTGATTGGACTCTTAACCTTGCATGCTCACTTCAACGAGTGTGCAGCGTTATCATGGAGCTTGAGGTGTGATAGTATATATAATTTTTTTGGCAGTGGCTTTGGTCCAGTCCAAGATCGGACTGGACCGTGTTGTTGGGCCCGTGATGGCCCACCACGGGTCCCATTTTGATAATCCGAACCGTATAATGTGTAGAACTCGTCGAGTACTATATGCCTGTAAAAAATCACGTTGATCGGATATCGATAGCTATATGAACAAAACAGTTTTTTATCAACCGTTAATTGTTTCACCGTCCATTTTTTTTATACAAAATTGATCTGATCACATAGCTATTAATATCCGATCAATATGATTTTTTACAGGCATGTAGTACTCGACAATTTCTACACATGAACGATTCGGATTATCAAAACGAGCCAAAAAAATAAGCCCCATAGGCCGAATTGGACGGGTCCAGTCTTGATCTCAACTTGAGACAAGCTGGACCCAATTTTTTTATAAATAAATTAAAAAATATTATTCGCGTATCACACTATATCATACATTCATAATCATTGATGTATTGAGAGTCCCAAGCTTCACTCTTAAAAAAAAATCATAAAATGTTAGAGAAGAAATTCGTTGGTAGATGCGATGGATAGTAGTTTTGTCATTTAGAGAGAGGTTTGAGCACCGATGCCAATGTTGGACATGTTGGCTGATGCCATTTGTTACAAGTTTACTTCAGATCTGTCTGAAAATGGAAAGGCATCTGATAAATTTAATTCACTCCTCTCTCCACCAACCTCAATTCCACCAAATTCACTCTCTCATCATCACAAACCACTTCTCTCTCACCCCACTCTTCATCAAAAAACTCTTAAACCATTCCTTCATCGACTACGCACGCAAGGTGTTCGACCAAATTCCCCAACCAGACCACACCCTTCACAACTCCCTCATTTCCACCTACTCCAAACTCTCTCTCAACAAACAAGCGATACACATGTTCGTTTCAATGCATTCTGAGAATACCAGGATCGATTGTTACGCGATTCCGCCCCTTCTCAAGTCGTGTTCTTCGTTGTTGGCTAGAGATTTTGGAATACAGGTTCATTGTTTGGTGATAAAACATGGGTTGGATGACTCCAGCGTTTTTGTTCAGACCGGTTTGATCGATTTTTACGCTAAAACTGGCAATGTGGGTGATGCTGAGAAGATTTTCAATGGGATTTTGGTTAAAGATCCGGTTTGTTACAATTGTTTGATTTCTGGGTATTCAAAATCCGGTGATGTTTTGATGGCAAGAAAGCTTTTTGATGAGATGGCAGATAGAAGAACCCTTGTTTCATGGAACGCGATGCTTTCTTGCTACGCGCATAATGGGGATTTCATCGAGGGGTTTAGGGTTTTTGAGCGAATGCAGGGTGAGAATTGTCGGCCTAATGAATTCACTGTGGTGACTGTGCTCTCTATATGTGCTAAGCTTGGGAATTTGGAAATGGGGTTGAGAGTGAAGAAGTTTATTGATGATAATGATTTGCGTCGCAATATGATAGTTTCGACTGCATTGTTGGAAATGTATGTGAAATGTGGGGCTGTCGATGAGGCACGATGGGAGTTTGATCAGATGGATGAGAAAGATGTCGTGGCTTGGAGTGCTATGATTGCTGGTTATGCTCAAAATGGGAGATCAACCGAAGCATTAGAGCTTTTTGAATGCATGAAAAGGGAAGAAATAAAGCCTAATGATGTCACACTAGTGAGCGTTCTATCGGCTTGCGCTCAACTGGGTTCAGTGGAAGCTGGGGAGCGTATCGGTAGCTATGTAGAGAGTCTTAATTTTGATGCAAATGTTCATTTGGCGTCAGCATTGTTGGCTATGTATTCCAAGTGTGGAAACATTAAAAAAGCTCGACAAGTATTCAGAAAAATGCCTCACAAAGATGTCGTGAGTTGGAACTCGATGATCATGGGCCTGGCAATCAATGGTTTTTCAGAGGATGCAATTGCTCTGTATGAGAAAATGAAAGAAACCGGGGTTCAACCAGATGATATAACATTTGTGGGCCTACTAACGGCCTGCACCCATGCCGGCTGTGTTGATCTGGGTTTCGAGCTCTTCAGGAGGATGAGAGTAGAACACGGGATTAGCCCGAAGATAGAGCACTACGCTTGTATTGTGGACCTTTTTTGTCGTTCCGGGAGACTAAAACAAGCATACCAGTTCATATGTCAGATGGAAGTGGAACCAAACTCCGTGATTTGGGGTACTTTACTTGGTGCTTGTAGGATTCACTCGAATGTAGAACTGGCCGAGCTCTCTATCAATAAGTTGATAGAACTAGAGCCCGGGAATGCTGGAAACTATGTCCTACTCTCCAACATGTATGCTAGTGTGGGTCGATGGCAAGAAGCTTCGAAGGTGCGGTTTTTGATGAAAAGTAAGAGTTTACAGAAGACGGCTGCATATAGTTGGATAGAATTGGAAGATAAGGTGCACAAATTTCTAGTTGGGGACACATCGAACCCTAGATGTAAAGATGTCTATAGAACCATTGATGGATTGGCAATGCATTCGACTTGGTCTACTCATGCCTTTGAACCCGAGATAGAGTTCTGTTAATGCTAGGGCTGAAAACACAATATGACTACTAAAACTGGTGAGAAGTAGAAAGCAGGGAATAGTTTATGATTGGCTTTTAGTTCATAGATTTGTCAAGAGAAAAGAAAAGTGTATTATTCATGTATGAATTATGATAAAAAGAAATTAATACAAATGATGTTCTCAAAAGCCAAAATTTGTAAATCAATGATATTACAAGAATGAATAGCAAATTGTCACGAATTGCTAACTTAATTTACTAAGTCCATGTACCTATATATACTTCTGTGATGTCGCAATGTGATCAATATCGCCGAGAACCCATAGAACCAATTTGATTAGGATCGATCACGATTCCTTGAATTGGTCCCGCTCGGCCTAAGATACTTCTGTGAGAATTGGTTGTTGAAGATGCCGCTATCTGAACATGAGGCGGTGTTGGAGTTTCAGGTGAGTGGCCAGAAATGCAGAGGGCACCAGAATCATCTTGCTCCCAGTATACTTCAACCATAAGACCTTTAGGATTCTCAGGCGACTCTGTTCCTGGAATGATGAACCTGGCTCCTACAGGTATCTGCAAAATCATTGTGAAAAGGAAGCAAAACTTAAGTCCCCATTCATGGCAATTGCTAAATTATTGTTTGTTTTGGCAGAAAACATTTTTCAATGTTTGATAGCAACTTTGAAACTAATGTACTAGTGTGGTGGTGGTGGGACGGTAGAGGTGGTGACAAGTTAGACTTCAGTCCGGAAAATGTTTTGCATCTTTCAAAAGTGAAAAATATTTTTCATCCACATAAGCTTGTTTTCAGAAAATATTTTTGGCTGAAACAAACAAAGCGATAGTATACAAAAATGAAAACCAAAACAATTGCACACCTGAAGTTCAGTTCCAGAAGTCAAAGTCAGAGTTTCCGTTCTCCCCTCAGCTGCAGCACTTTCCAGCTCTGCTTGCTGTGCAATATTCAGGAAAACTTCTTCCAGAGTTGTAAGACCAAGTTGGATGTCTGCTATGCCAAATTCTCTCTCTCTATCTTGGAGCTCAGCGAAGAAATTCTACAGGGACATAATTACCAAATAAAAAATAAAAAATAAAAAAAGTGAGATCTTTGTAGATTCACATATAAATTCCACAAGCAGATGCATTTTTCACGCAAATCAAACTCATCTTAACACAAAAACTGAGGGAGGTCTTCGTGGGTTCATAAATTATTATTTAACTTGGTGTATTTTTGTTACAAATTAGAAAACTATTCAGAATTCAAAACATTTCAGTTACTCTAAAATCAGAAGGGAAAATGACAGCCGGACAAGAGTGTGCTAATCACAAGTGGGTGTCAAAACCTTAAAAAAAAGAAGTGAAACAAACTTGAAAATGAGGGCCTGATCAGCGTCTGAAACACGATGACTATGTAATTGCATGACAATTTTGAATCTTGAATTAATATAAAGCAAGGGCTCGATTCGACAATCCCACCCACCACAAGAAGGGTGAAATGATCATAGACTTGAAGAGAAAAGGGAAAGGAAAAACAAAAACAAAAACAAAAACAAAAACAAAAGAGAACTGATGAAAGAAAAAAAGAAAATAAAAAAAGGTGAATTTAATATTGTGGATTTTTTTTCTAACTCCCATGAATTCAGACATGCAAGAGCATCAGATTTTAAATTTCTAATACACAGACAATAAAACTTTTAGACAGTGACTTTGCGCTTACCGTCAATAGCTCCTCCTTGTCATGGGGAATAACATATGTCAGGAATGACTTGTTCTCCTCTTTTGGTACCACATTCAAATGCTGCCAAAAATAATCCCCAGGTCAAAATAAAATATTTATAGTTGAAAAATAGTTTAAAACAATCTCTGTCATCTAACATACCTTTTTAAAGAACTGTTTCACAGGCTCATGATTTACAATGGGAACATCTTCCCCTCTGACAGGAGTTCCGTTAGCAGCTCCAGCGAAGCTTATGTTAGAAATAAAACCAGTACCAAACCGGGACTTCAACCTGATTGAAGTTCCAATGCAGCGAAGCCTACCCTTTGCCATGATTCCTATGCGATCACTTAAAATGTCAGCTTCTTCCATTGAATGGGTAGTTAGGACAATGGCCCGCCCTTTCTTCGCATTCTCAATTATGTCCCAAACGTGCCTTCGAGTGATTGGATCCATACCAGTCGTCTGCACATTAAAGGAAACTTCTGGTTAGCAGATGAAGTGAGTAACACCAATAAACTCATATGAAGAATGAAGATTTTCTAATCTGAAATACCGGTTCATCCAATATGACTAGCTTTGGATCACCAATAAGGGAAATTGCAACACTAAGCCGGCGTTTCATTCCTCCACTGTAACTACCAGCTCTCGTTTTAGCTGCCTCAGTGAGTTTCACCTCTGCTAATGATTTCTGTGCAACCTGGGTTTGAGAAAAAGGGCTCATGTTAGAATATTATTATAACAAGAAGACACTTAAAATAAGTACTGAGAAAATCAGGTTCAGATTTGTATAGCACTCACGGATTCAATTGAAGCTGCGGGCAGGCCTTTAATCCTAGCAAAGAGGTGGAGGTGTTCTCGACCAGACAATGCATCCCAAAGTATATCAAACTATGAAGAAAAAAAAAAATTCAATCTCGCTTTCTGGATGAATCCAGAAATGCTGGGAGAGTCAAATATCTTACATTATTGAAAAGAAATGAAAAAGAAAAAAGAGTCACCTGAGGACAAACTCCTATGATTTTTCGAATATTTGACATGCCAACAGAGCTCCGAACAGAATGACCATATATTAATGCTGTAAAAAGACATGCCATGGATTAATTTCAGTTAACTTTATCCTTATAAATCCCAGTTGATGAACATGGAAACCCGAAGCAGAAGTCATTACCATCTCCAGCCGTCACTGGCGTAATTCCAGTCAAACAATTGATCGCAGTAGTTTTTCCAGCTCCATTGGGTCCAAGAAGACAGAATAGCTGATCTTTTGCAAAGTTAACCCATAAGCCCTGAAAAAAAGGTCCACTTTGTACTTTTATACATTTGAGGATACAAGATATCTTCAAAGGGTTAATTGCTCCCCTATCTAATGTTGGTGATTATATGGATTTCCCACACCCCCCCCCCCCCCCCCAAAAAAAAAAAAAAAAAAAAACTTTAGTCTACTTACTCATAGTGGGTGTTATGTGTGACAAAACCAATCAAATGGAACCCCACACCTAGGTGTAGATGCCAAAATGAAGTGCTTATTTGAGCAATAAATTCCTCTTGCCCCTAACCATTAGCCTTAAATTTACTAAGCGCACAAAGTGAGAGGACATTTTACCTTGAGAGCATGATAATGCGAGGTCTTCTTACATTTACAGCAACCAATCTTTGTTGCACCAGGATATACCTTTACAAGACCACGTATTTGAACAGCAATATTTGGATCAACTGCACCTTCCTTCGCTTCTTTTTTCACAGTGTTTTCCTCTTCAAGTACATCCTCATCATCTGGAGTAATATCTTCCATTGGGGGAACTGAACTAGTGCAGCTACAAATGCCGCCCTCTAAAAGAAGAATGAGATAAACCATTCAGTCACTAATACCAGCTGACCAAGAGAATTAAGGAAAATGGATTATTAGTTCAAATTCAATTACCTGCCACCTTGTTTCCACCTTTCCCTGTCCAATATCCAGGGTTTAAAAAGTAGAGCACCGATTTTCTCACACCAGATGAGTTTGGGATAATATTGTCAAAGTAGATTGCCAGAACAAACCACAGAAGGAATGTTGAAATGAGCCATATATAAATCTCACTCTGCAAAAAACATGAAAGTATGCAAATGGTTAATTACAAGGCCACTATTGAGCTTTGTTGGAGACAAAAGTGATGCAAGAATGATTAATACACAAATGATCATGCCCACACAAAATACACACACAGAGGGGATAGGAAAGAGGGGAGAAGGTATGGACAACCAGGATTGCAAATATTTGGTTTTCAAGTTGCGATTAGAGAACATACAATTGTGACAACACACTCATTATCATTTGGTGCACATTTCCCTTTTCTACTCCAACTGATTCCTGGATCTTGAGGAGTGGCAGTTGCATCAGAAAGCAATTTAAGACCTTGAGCAAGAAGGTTTGGTGGGAACAGTGACCAGATGATCCGATAAAGACTGGAGAAGTTGGAACTATACGGAAATCCAAATTGTGTAATAACCTGCAAAGATTAAAATGGTCCATTATGATGATTGGGTCATTAACATATGTTCCAGAATTTAATGGAGGGAGACTTGCCTGAGTTAGAAAACCGATGATAAATATGGAGAAACCTGCAGTTGTTGATGAAGATGACTTGCTAATGAAGGCCGACAGCATGAAGGAAAAACCAATCTAGCATCAGAAACCATGAAAGACAGATCAGCCACCACAATCCAAAAATGAGGTTTGCTTGATCAGGAAGAAAATGACATTGCCTAAGGATAAATAAATTGGGTTAAAATTTATTACTGCTGGAATGAAGCTTACCATATTGAATTGGAAAAGAAAGAAAAGAAGAAACACAACAGCAAAGTTGTTGTTCAAGAAAAAATCAAATTGAAACATCATTCCAAAGAGAACTGTGAGAAGTGCTGAAAGAAGAGTGATAATTCCTTCCCACGTGAGCCACGAGAACCAATATGCAGTATCATAAAGACCCATCATAGTCATTGCCTGTTAAGAAAATGTGACATGAAAAAATGAAAATTATTTTGCAAGGACATGGAATGTAAATTGTCTTATGATCAAATCATATATCAAGTGAATACCTGGCGAAGTTTGAGTTCTTTCTCTGTGATCAAATTACTAATTTGAAAGACAAAACCAAACATAGCAATTGCAAGGAAAAAGGTTGGTCCTACTGAACCCACAGCAGAGAAAATCTCCAGTGCAGGGTGTGCAAATTCCTTCAGATTGACAACCCAGCTAAAGTTTGGATCTGAGGTGTACGAAGTCAGGAGTAAGGGATTCATTTAGTCAACCAGAGATATGGAAGCCACAGCATTAACAATGCCTATTGAGATTTAAGAGGATCAAAATTGTGATAAATTCAATACCTCCAATCAAAGACCTTGCAATTTCACGCTCTGCTGCAATTTGAAGAGGAATTTGGAATTTGAGTGTGGGATCTTCATAAAGCCCTCGTTTGCCAACCGCAGTAGAATTAGTCTGTATACCATAGGTTACTACAGTAGCATTTCTCTCTGCAAAATGTAGAGCCCCAGGGCAATGCATAGGATTGCTGAAAAGCCATGCATCGACTTCATTTTTTGTTCTAAAAGATTTAACCTGCACAAACAAGGCGTAGAAGAGTGATCCTATTGCTTTTGAGTTTCTTTCTTATAAAATTATAACTTTTAAGCATACATTAAATGCACTGATATACCCCCAAACAAGAAATACACCTTTCAACTAGAAGACAATAAAAAGAGAAGCATTCATGTTAAGAGCTGTCAGCTCTTCTTCCCAATTTCAGATAGAGATATTTTTCAAAATTTGTAGTACAGTTCTTTTTTTTTAAATCTCAGATCCCAATGGACACAACAATTAACAATTTGGGAGGGCAAGTTAGGGAAGTGATTAATGTAAAACAGGTAGAGAGAGAGAGAGAGCATGCTCTGACAATATCATTACCCTATCAGAATATCCAAAAAAAATTGCCTTGACATTATCATTAATAAGTTAATAACCTACTCAAGCAAAAGAATTTAACAGAGATTGAAACTGGCACTATTGTGGACAACTTTAGGAAGTAGAATTACTAGGAAGAAAATGATTTTGAGGTATAGAGTACATGGAAAAAATATATAAAAGGGATGAAGTATATCAACAATATTCTTACGAAATTGTTGTACTACCACTCATTGGGCAGAAATGAACGTGAGGAATCTCCATTTTCATGTATGCCACAAGCTGAAGGTAATGATAAAAAAGCTCAAGGTTCCAAAAAGCCAAAAAGCAATAATGGTTTATCCAAAGCAGCATCAAGTCACTTTTTTATGCATGGGAGGTACAGAGAGTTGAAAAAAGGAAGTCCATTCATAAGAATCGTTATTAACGATTACATAATGAATATGTAAGTATTACAACTACAGGTATTCTTACTTCACAATCCAGATTCAAAAATGACCAATGGCTAAGAAAATTGAAGAAGAAGATAAAATTGTGATTTCCAAGAGTAACAAAAACAAAGAAAATAAGGTTAAAGAAATAGCACTGTCTACCCAAATTAAAGGAGAACCAAAAGAAAAGTAAAGAACCATCAGGGACAGTGTTAACCTAAAAAAAAAAAAAGCAGGGGCAGTGCTAGAACTCCTTTAGCTTACTAAGGTCTCTTGCCCTACCCAGGCTAAGGCCTCCAATTTACCCAAAATAAAGTCAACAAGCCTTTGCTATTTAGTGGTTAAAAAGCATTGCTAATTTGCTACACAGTCGATTGCATGAGTTTCTGAATCTTAATTTTCTCTTCTTCGAAGACATCATGTGTTGTGGGTGTGTCTCGAATTTGACCCTGATAATGCTTATTAACGGTTGCCGACCTGCACAGCCCGATTAATCGGATAGGTCTGACATGGTATTTTGCATTTGGGTCCATTTTGTCCTTGTTTGCTACTTTTAGATCCTTGTGTATGTTGGGTTATTTCAGATTTTCGGATTCATGACCATCTTGTGAGTTTGGGACATAGAGTTAAAAGGGATAGTCAGCTTATTGTATCTTTATAAATTATATTCATATTCATATTGAAGCTCACTTGTCGTTCTTCACGTGAACGTAACGCTCTGTTTGTTTGAGCGAAATGTTTTTTGTATATCTAGAATTTGGTACAATAAAAAACAAAAATCAACAGAAAATATTTTACATGATCTACCAAAAATAAGTATTTGGAAAGAAAATATTTTTCATTTTGAAAAGACAAAAAATGTTTTCCAAACTAAAGTTTTACTAATCTCACTGCAATACCACCACCATTCTCATCTCCACCGCCATCACTATCATCGACGCCATCACTGCTGCCGCCACTCCACCACCATGCCACCACCTTCGCCCCACTACCACCACTGCCACCAAACATAGAAAAATATCTTATCCGGAAAATAGTTTTTAGAAAAAGTATTCGGTAAACGGAGTGAACCACGTAAAGATGCTGGTGTGTTTGTTCAATTTTGGCTTTACTCATCTTCGCATTTCCCTTACCATAGGAAATTGAAAATTGAAAATTCAACTATACTCTACTCAATCGAGATCAATCCAAACTAAATTAGCAAATTAAAAGCTCATCAAACACTAGTTATATCATAATTCAAAAACCAAAAAACAAGAAATAAAACTAAAAATTCAAAGAACCTTGTCTGAAGCAATCGGTCTTCCCGGATTATTGGTCATAATTCGAGTAACAATCGATCCAATCTTGGCGCTATCATTACCGCTCCATACAAAGTCAAAGCAAGGAAGCTTGACGTAGTACTTGTCCTCACATGGCGGAATCGGAGGAGAAACAATTGGTTTGGGATCGAAGACGTGCTTGTAAGTGCTGGTGGAGGAGAAGCGAGCATCCATGGCTTTTTGGATGCAGAAGATGAGGAAGATGAAGAAGAGGGAAGAGAAAAGTTGAAGGAATGTGGATCGCTTGCTTCGCCATGAGAGAATGATGTTTTTTGTGAACAGAGCTTTGAATTGCTGTAGCAGTAGAGGGAATCCCCTCTGTAATTCCATTGCTTTCTCTCTCTCTACAAATCTGTAATGGTGTTTGGATTCTGAGAAAATGGATTCGTGACAGTGGTTTTTTATATGAAATGGGAACAATAAAAAAAAACGCGCGGTTTTGAGTAACAGGCTTGAGCTTGAGGATGATGCCCTTAGTTTTCATGGAAATTACGAAGTTTGCCATTGGCTTAGATTTGTCGCTCACTGTCACGTTTATACACTGCCAACTATTCTTCTTCTTTTTTTTTTAATGGTTCTTTTTCAAATTCATTTCAAACTTTTTTACATTAAGTCTAAGAATTCAGAATTTATTTCTAGATTTGTACCAAGAATTCAAGTGGGGGTTCATGTGTAAAGTTAATTTTGTTTTGAATAATTTTTTAGTTTGTAATATTACTGAAATTTTTACTTTTTGATTAATCTAATGTAAAAAGATTTAAAAAGTAAAAATACACTAAAACAAAAAAAATAAAGTCAATATAACTATAATAAAATTATAAAATTTATTATATTTTCTTCAAATTACTGAGGAGGTCAATGTAATTTACCTAAAAGAATAATATACATACATAATTTTTATACAGAATGATGTGATTTATTGTGAATCTTTTATTTCAAAACAAAACATCCATAAAGACATTTCTTTTTTTCTTTTTTTTAAAAAGTTTATCATTTTATTGTTATAAAAAAAATTTGGTATGAATAAAATTTTCCATAGAACTGTCATATTTACAACAATAATGTACATCAAACTTGTCAGTTTTACCTCATTTAACTTGGTCACCTAGCACAATCACATATCATTGGTCCTTTACGCTGTGTTTGGTTGGGGGATTTGGGAAGGGAAATGGAAAGGGAAATGGAAATGAAAGGAAAAGGAGAAAGAATTAATAGAATTCCAAATCCCAACTATGTTTGGTTGTGTTGGTTATAAAATAGAATTGATGTTTTAAAAGGTCTCTTATTTCTTTATTTATTTCTCACCCCCTTTCTTTTCCCATATATTTTTTATTATAACCAAACATAAATAGGATTACATTTCTCATTCCCTTTCCAAATCCCACCCCAAAAACCCCAACCAAACACAGCATTATAGTTTTACTTCTCTTGGAATCTATAACCCTAAACATTTATTTCAACCATAATTTAGAATGCTAATACGTGTGCATTACTTTATTTTATTTTATTACAGAAGTATTTTGAATTTTATCTCAACTAATATATACAGACTCTTGTTTTATAAATATCAGAAGTGTAAACCTTAGAATAATTGCAACCAAAAAAAAAAAAATTTAAACATAAACTATTAGTTTACTTTTGTAAAATTTCAAATCCGTAACTTTTCATAGGAGAAATACTCTGTGCTTGATGTTACTTGATCCTTCATATCCAAGTGATTAATTGTATGCTCAATATACCCAATTGTTGACAATCTGTTACTTAAAATTAGTCACTTCATATAAATTATGTTAAAAATTAACCCTAAACAAGCCCAACCCGAATATCAGGTATTGCATTTTATCTAATTGCTAAAAATCCTCCTAGAATTCCTCAGATAAAAAGATTCTTGGAATGAACTAAATAATAAAGTTTTTTTTTTTTTTTTAAACTAGGAAAAAAAGATACTTTGAGATTTCATCACGACATCCATGGGTCCAAATTTCGGAATAACTAGTTCCTGGCCTGATTTAATCCAACTTATAGGAAGGGACCCACCACTGAAGCACCAATAGAGCTCATCAACGACCCCCCAGCAGAACCAAGGTTCGATCGGAATATAACGCGAAATTTCAAAAGAGAGTCACTAAAAAATCCAGCATTTCACGCCCTCCAATAATTGAATTTAACTCACTGCTATAAAAAGATAATGCCTTCACCACTGAGCTACTAATCCCCGTGATAAACAACGCAGTTGATAAAATCTTTTTGGCCCTCCCCCATTTGAGAAGGATATCTTGGTAATTTAGGTTGAGAATTCTGAAGGGCACGCTAGACATTTCACGATGTAGAAATTTATATTTATAAATGATGTCAGAGAGTTGAATAAAATAGTTCAACGATCACACATGAAATGCTTTAAAAATGATATTTAGGATCACTAGTCAAAAGTGGTGTTCAAATTGGGAATAGCCAAACGTGTCACAAAAAGTTCTTGGAAATTTCTTATGAAACTTCTTAGGTTACTTGGACACAGAGTTCATACTATTCTGTGGTGGACCAAAAGCAACATTAAAAAAAGACAAAAAGAGCGATGAAATTTATTTATTTTTATTGGAAAATGTGTTTTGTACATTTGACAGTTGTTGGCTTAGCTTCAAAGGACCGTTTATACTTCACAACGGTTTTCGCGGAAATATCTTTTAGGCCTAGTTTGGTAATTATATTAGTGAAAAAAAAATTAAAAGTTATTTTTTTTATTTTTTCATGTTTATTAGTAAAAGTTAAAAGTTACTATAAAGAAAAATTATTTGGTGACCCGGAAGTACTATTTGATAATGGGACAATTTGAAAAACTAACTAAAAGTTAACTTTTAGCTTTTAATTCATTTTAGGTCATATTACATCTTACATTTTTCACACATAGAAAGACGAAAAAAAAAACCAAAAAATTAACTTTAAACTAACTTTCTAAATCACCCCAATATCCGTCATTAATCATCAAATATCATACCTTTTGCTGTTTCCTATGACTTAATACAAAATTGTGCATCTCATACTTTCTACCAATCAAAACTTTCTTAAAACACGTGATCATATCCTAAAACTACCAAATAACTTCTCCATTTAAAAAAATAAATTTCCCATTGAGGCCTTAAGGCTCGTTGAGAATTGATTATTTTAATTGTTTTTTAATTTTTTATAAAAAAAAATGTATAAAAAATGATATAGTAACTTACAGTAAATTTTTTTTTTTTTAAACTAAAATTTGTAATTGCAAACCTTAGTGTGAACTATAAGTGGGAATTGAGACCACATTGCATAAATTCAAATTTGTATAGATCCAAATTTATTTGACTAAAAATAGGTGCATTAATGATTCAGTTGGCTTGGTGGAGACTATTAGTCTTGTAGACTTTGAAGATGCTTTCACTTAAAATTAATATTTATGATTATAACATTTACGGTAACAAAAATTCTAAAATCTTAATGTAATTTTCTTAAAATTATAAAAATTTATTATATATTTTAAAATTTTAAGGAAAATGAATGTAATTTATCTTATTAATTTAGTGTAGTAAATAGAAATATGAATCTCTTTAATTTAACTAACAATATGATCTTGAATAGAATCGAATAGAGAAGAATAATTTATGTAATTGACCTTATTTGATGGAACTTATATCTTAGTTTGGTTTAATTTAGTCCTATTAATAATGCCTTTTTAGATATTAAATTAAAATTAATGAACAAAATAATTAATTCACTCTCTTGAAAAGTTTATATATAATTTGAAATAATAAATTTCCTGTTAAAATGACCATTTTATTTATGTTTAAATAATTTTATTAATTGGACTAAACAATGTTTCATATAAAAAAAAATTGTCATAAATTTATATATACGAAACACCCATCTAAAATGAAATGATAATAATGTTTTGAATATTAGATGAGCCAAAAAAATCACGTACATAACATCAATCATTAAAATTTTTCAAAGCATTATACAACATTATTCCATATTTTGTTGTGGACACAAAACAATTCAAGTTGATCATTTGTGTGGAATCTATATAAGAGCCACACAAATGAATGATTATGATTATTTTATAGTATTGCCACGTCAATCGTCCACATTTCGTTAATAGTTGATCAAATTTGATGAATTCACCAACAAGAAGTTCTGTTCTGGTTGCTGTGGAGGGATAATATCAACCACTTGATGGCCTATTGTTTTTGGCACTTTTGAGTAACAAAAGTCAGCTAGATCGGGTATGTGTCTCCATTAGCAAGTAGCTTTCTTAACATTTTTCTCATTCAACCCATTGAGCCTTTTTAATTATTATTATTATTATTATCCCATTAAAAAAATTATTATTATTATTTAAAATTTGAGTTCATATTATAAATTGAAAAATTTTAATATACACTCTTTTAAAAATAATATATCATATATATTTCTAATTATATCTTTTTCTTATTTAGTTATAATATTATTTTAGTTATGACTCATGAATTCTTTAATTATGTCTCATGTTGTGTTTAATTATGATATATTTTTTTTTTAAATTATGACTCAAAAAATTGAAGTTACGTAATTTTTTTTTTTAATTTTAATTATTAGATGCATGTGGTGCACACTCTTTAAAGAATGTACACCATAGTATTTTCCTTATAATTAACACTCAAAACAAGAAAAGAAAAGATGGCTTTGGTGATCTAATAGAAGAGGAGTTGTTGAGCTCGTTGAATTCACCTTGAGGCGTATGTTACTAATCTAAATTGTTGTTTTTGTAAAGTCATCGAGAAAATAATTTACGTAAAGAATAGACTGTTCGAATATTGATAGTTATATGAATGAATTAAATTTATCTTATAAAATTGGATGAAAAATACAATTTTAAGAATATACCATTTATTTTTTTAAAAAGATAATTCGATAATCTAGCTACTAAAGTTTAATAAATCTGATATTTTACACAGATACTTTTCTCAAAAAATTGAATTATGATTCAAAAAATTGAAGTGACATAATTTTTTTTTTTTAATTATAAGATGCATGTGGTGCACACTCTTTGAAGGATGTGCATAATAGTATTTCCCTTATAATTAGCACTCAAAACAAGAAAAGAAAATATGGCTTTGGTGATCTAATAGAAGAAGGGGTTGTTGAGGTCCTTGGATTCGCCTTGAGGCCTATGTCATTAATCTAAATTGTTGTTTTTGTAAAGTCATCGAGAAAATAATTTATGTAAAGAATAGTTTGATCGAATATTGGTAGTTATACGAATGAATTAAATTTATCTTATAAAATTAGATGACAATTACAATTTTAAGAATATACAATTTATTTTTTTTTAAAAGATAATTCGATAATCTGGCTACTAATGTTTAATAAATCTAATAT